ACACCCAAACTGAAAGCAGTTTGTTTTAAAATACACACGGTGCTATTTGAATAGATCTATGTAGCTTCCCAGATTGTATATTCTTGCGAAGAACTTAATGAAGAGTTTTCTCTTCTTGCCACTACAGCCCATGCGATATCATTTTTAAACTCAGGTTTAACTGAAAAGAAATTAAAAACGAGTGTGTAGTCTTCTCTATGTTGGAATAGGAATAATTTTCTTGGATGTTTTCCTTTCAGTCTGTGCTGCACAGGATATTTGTATGCAAGAAATGAATTTGCAATTACTTTTTCAGTGTGGTATCTCTTGCATTCCATTTTTCAATTTTCTTATGTTGTTTATTTTCCATTTCTTTTTTTATTAATTGTTTTCCAAGAGACACAAAAAGATCTTGAGAGGGTCTGTCTCACCCTGTGGGGACTCCTCACAGCATATCTGGTCTTCTTCCAGAACATGCAGAACAGGTGGCATGAAGAGAAGAGTAACAGATACTTCAGAGTGCTCCTGTTTTATTTAAAGTGCTGTTCCTCTGTACTTTTACACGAGCTCCACTTCAAGACTATGTGAGGGTCTTGCAGGAATTGTGAAGGTGATGCAGCCGCGCACGTTCCGTGCTGCTGGCAGGGACGGGCTACCGCGGTCTCGCTGGGGAAGCTGCGGCTGATGCTGGGAGAGGTGCTGGGGCTCCACAGTGAGAGCAGGTCTCTTTGGCCAAATGTGTTTTCTCTCAAGCCAAGAACTCTGCTGGAGTTAGTTAGTTTTTAAAACCAGAGAAGTTTTGATGCCTAAGTGTTGGAAATGGAGTCGATTCTGACAAATATTTGATTTAAGCTTGTAGAAAAGCTTGTTTTCCCTTCTTGGGGGGAATAAAATAAGGTTTTTTTGTATTTGTTCCCATGTGGATCAAGGCAAAGACTCTATGTGAGGCAATGGGTGCAGGAAAAGGCCTTAAAACTGAAATATTTGACTGAGCAAAGGCATTTCGCCATGTGCCACCCCTCCTGTGTTTTGGGTCTTTGTCCATGTTTCTCCTCCACTTTGCTTTATATACCAAACCTGCATGTAAATAACAATGATGTTAAGTGCCTCGGTGTGTTTTAAAGGAGCTGAAAATGCCTCTCCAGCACTGCCCAGAGGCTTCTTAACATGAACTGCTAATGCCTAGTTCAACAAAATGAAATGAAATCTAGTTCATATGCCCCTTACAGCAGAATATCAGCTCGCTCCTCAAGGAGTTGTACGGAATTTGGCGTAGGCTGCGATGCCATTAAGCCACACAAAATATTTTTAAAGACTGCATATTAATTTACAGTTTACATTCACTTGTATTTCCTTACGGCTTGCCTCTGCGCTACTGGTGATCTCCATGCTATGACAGTCTGGGAGAAATCCGCAGGCTGGATGTTACTCTGCTATGGATTCTGTGTGACAAGACGGTGCAAAGGAACTGCAGGGTGAACTGGGACCGAAGCGATGAAAAATTACTGCTTACCACCTGAAATCACTGAGAGTTGAAACACTTTTTAGTAGCCTTAGGGTGGCTGGAGGTGGCCGCGTCCCATGTGTCCTGAAAGAGAATTGTTTCAGAATATTTTAAAATTTGTAATTATTTCAAAATACAAATATTTTTATCATCACAGCCAGAAAGAAACAAAAGTAGCTATAGCAATATTTTACTCACAGTGGAAGAGTAGTCAGTGTGATTTGATTTACCAGTTGACATCAGTCATCACTTACGCTTTGATGTTGAAATAATTGTTTAATAATTAATACTACAGTGGAAATTATTAAGCCAAAATGTCGTTTTTATACTGGTAGGATTCTTTACAGGTGGTGTTTTCCGTGTTTTGTATGTTTAGTCTTCCGAATTGAAGCTTTTTTCAAAGTTGTCATTTTGATTTTGTTTTTGCGGCTTCTTTCCGTTGAACACTAGCTTTGCTGTTCTGCAAAGAGCCTCTCTGAAAGAATTACTTTCAAGTGGCACTCAGATGATGTGAGGAGGGAGTTGTAAGTTGTTCGTATGTGTTTGTGTCAGTCGATTTACCAAAGCCTAAGGGAGACCTCCACAAACTGTGTAAAGCAAACTCGTATTGGGTGAACACCCTTCCTTCCCCTGGAATTTCTGTCTGTGGAAGATCAGACTTTAAATTTTGTGAGTCTTCAATGTGTATGAATTCAAATAATTAAAATCTAGGAAGACTTTATTTTGGCTTTAAAGTTGTAAATTGCAATGCATTGACTAAGCTAAACTAATAAAGATGAAACAATTTTCTCAGAATATTTTGGTGAAGATGATAATACTTCCGTTAAGTATTTTAGATGAATAAAATAATTTGGTAATTTTTTAACTGACTTTTTCACCTCTCAAGCCTAATTTAATATAGGGCTAGGGGATTCTCCTGCAAGTGGCTAATATCCCTCTTATAGGTAATGCTTTCTTCCTACCCTCATTTTCATAACTTAAGTTTCATTAATGAAAATGCTGTAAATAACTAAAGTGAAATATGTCAGGACTAAGCACAGGGAAGTTGTGGCTGAGTAAACAAAGGGACTCTGCAGCTTTGGATTTGTAAGTGCCTGAACTGCTGCCTACAGCATTCTTGTCTAAGTTTGGCTCTTAAAGCTCTTTTGAACTTTCAGACAGGAAGCACTGTAGAAAGTTGAGTTAAAATGAGACATTAAAAAAAAAAAAAAAGTCAGGAGTCTAAAAGCCAGCCTGCCAATAAGCAGTGTTCTCACTGGTGTAGACTGTAGAAAATGCAAAATGTAGGAAACATTGTATAAAATACCTGGAAAAATCCGTCCCTAAAGCTTGCTACCTTTTTTTCTACAATGGTGCAGAACATTTCAGAAGAAGCTGTTGCTTGTTCAAATACACTATTGTGTTAAATGCAAAAAGTTGTTCTGGTGTTTCTTTTTATGATTTAATGAGTTTTAGGTTAAGTCTTTGGTTATAAGACAATATGGGTTTTTACTTGGCAAGTGTAGATTATGGGTCAAACAAATAAGATGTTACTCTGAATTCTTTCCTCCATCAATATGCAGTGTAAACTGCATTTGTATTTGCTCTTTGGCATGTTCATACCTTCTGGTACAGCCACAACTTCCAGTGGCTCCATCCTTTATATACCCAGGGAGTTTCTTAGGAGGCTGCCCCTCAGTTTGGTTTTAAATGGCTAATTTAAGAGGTTAATTTAGATACTTTTGTTTGTAAACTTCTTGCTCATATGGACTTTTGAATTTGTGTTCTGATGTGATTTTTAATTTTTTTTAATCATAATATAAAAAAGCTTCTTTCAAGAAATGAAATTTCATTTGTCAGCTCTCTGAGGAAAAGGTAGTTTGGGTAGATGCTGTTGATAACTCTTAACATGCTGAACGGATACTAGATATGCAGAAAATCAAACCCAGAAATGAATAGTCTTGTAGCAAATAAGAGGACTAGATTAACTAAAACACAATTAAGCTATTCTATAGTGTGTAACTGAGATGAGCTTTGCATCAGTTTTACCTTGCTTTTTGTTAGGCTCATGCTGGTGATGTGGTTAGACTATTTATTTATTTACATATTGAAGAGACTCAGAGGTGAATGCAATGAGAAACCTTAAAATTTGCAACCGTGGATCTGTAGCTCTGTATTTTTTGAGTCATAGATGTCAAGTGATGGATGCGTGAATATATAGTCTTGTTATTGCTCTGCATGTTTTTAGCTACATTTTAAAAAGCCGATATTTTCTTTAGTGGTTATAGATTGGTTCTCTTTATTAGAGAATACAGTATTCTTTGATCTTAGTCATGTGGTGTTTGTAGTACTTAATGAGGATAGGAAGGGGGGAAGATTTTTGTTTCGCAGTGTGGTAATTGGAAAAGAAACAGTCTATGGAGATCTTAACCATGGGGTTTTGCCATATACAAGGTGAAGAATTGCTGATGTGTTGCATCTTGCATTGCTGAGGCAGATATTGACCGTTGCATTTAATCATGACAAGATACAAATGCTTTTAAACTCTTACTAATCTGTTTTGTTAATCAAAGTTGTTTTTTGTTTCGTTTGTTTGTTTGTTTATGGTTAAGATTCTGTTTCATTGAGGTGGATGGTGCTGTGGTTTCCTGTCTGTCTTGTTGACACAAATCACTCACTTTTAAAATCGTTTGATACCTGCACACATTATCAGTTTACTTTGTTAGATTGAGACTAAATGTTACGCTTCGAGGGTGTTTATTCTGCATTGTCCATCAGGAAGTAACTTTTAGTTTTCCTGAACGCCAGGTCAGGCTCTGTATTCTTGTTTTCTGTCTAATCAAAGTACTGAGCATCCTCAGCCTCTGCGCCTGCTCTGTGTATGCCACATCAAGCACAGCAGAGCTGTCTGAGACGCAAAGTAATGCAGTTGCCAGTAGGAATATGATACTTGCTAAAGTCTTTAGCAAAGCCTTTTATCTTTGGCAAGTAAGTATTTTACATGAAATTACACATGATAGTAAAGCCACAGATTTAAAGTGTTAATAGCCCCTTCAAGAAATATTTTCCTCATTTAAGGTGTATTTTTAGCTACTTCTGCCTGGTTTTAAAACAAAAAATATTTATAATGTTTGCACTTTTTTAAATACACTGTGGCGTCAGTATATGGAAATGAATGTTTGCTCTTTTTTGAGTTTTACTTGTTAATTAACGATGCTTGCCATCGAAGTCTAAGATACCAGCAAAAGGAGAAGCTGCTGCTTTTTGGTGCAATAAATTGTAGTATAGCGTGCTTCTGAATGCGGAGCGAGTGATGGAAGGTGTTGAATTAAAAATATGAATAGGTTTAAATATATTTAAGAATCTACTTAAACAGTTTCTGTACATTTGTGTGATTTTTCTTCTTGTTTCAGGTGATCTATGCCATCCACTTACAGAGCACAGGGAAATAAATCAGCGCTTCAGACTCCCTCGAGCAGCTGAAAGGAGAAACGTTACCCTGAGAATGAAGCAATAAAACATCTGTCTGCAGAACCGTATGATTGAAAACGCGGTCCAGCCCTCCTCTGCTGCCGGACATGCTTTTGTCCTCCTGCCCCGCTCACCTGATGTTGCAGTAATACAGATGGATCGTGGTAAAGAAACAGAAATGGAGTTACGGAGATCCTCCAGCCCAGGCAAGCTAAGCAAGAACGACATGGATGCTGACAAGACCATGTGCCACAGCTGCTGCATCTGTGGTAAAAGTTTCCCTTTTCAGAGCTCCTTGTCGCAGCATATGAGGAAGCACACAGGTGAGAAGCCCTACAAATGCCCTTACTGTGATCACAGAGCTTCCCAAAAGGGCAACCTGAAGATCCACATCCGTAGTCACAGGACAGGCACTTTAAGTCAGGGGCACGAGGTGGAGATGGGAGAGGCGCAGCTGGGTGAGATGGGTGTTTCAGAGGGCCTCGGTGGGTGCACCAGCCCCACCAAAAGTACATCCGCCTGCAACAAGATCTTGAACGGTACCGCTCAGGTAGATAGCAGCAAGATCTTGTTGAGAAGCAGCAAGAAGGAGGTCATGGAGGCGGCGCCAGCTGAAGAGGGTGGCAAGCTGACCTCTTACCAGTGTACCTTCTGCAAAAACAAATTTGAAAAGAAGAAGGACCTGGAGCAGCACCTGCAGCAGGTCCACAAACCGTTCAAGTGCAGGTTGTGTAGCTACATGACCCTGAGGGAGGAGACGCTCTTAAACCACATAGAGAAGGACCATATAACAGCTCAGGTCCCGAATGGGGAGGCCTATGCCGAGAACTGCAAGAGTGAGCTGAGCGCGGGCGAGTTTCCGTGCGAGGTCTGCGGCCAGGCCTTCAGTCAAACCTGGTTCCTGAAAGCTCACATGAAAAAGCACAGGGGATCATTTGATCACGGGTGCCACATTTGTGGCAGGAGATTCAAAGAGCCCTGGTTTCTCAAAAACCACATGAAGTCGCACGGTCCCAAGACCGGGAGCAAAAACAAACCAAAAAATGATTTGGACCTCATAGCCACTATCAATGACGTGATACAGGAGGAGATGATTGTGACGGGCCTGTCTCTGTACGAAGTTTGCACCAAGTGTGGAAATCTGTTTACAAATATGGAAAGCCTGAAAGCGCATAACGCTGTTCACTACCGGGCGCAGCGGGGCAGTGCCGGGGATAACGCCGAGGACTTAATTGATGAGAGCCTCAGCTCCTCGGTAACGAAGCAGTTCTTCTTGCAGTGTCTCAATCTAAGACCATCTGTAGGGCTGGATAGAGTTGCAAGAGGACAGCCTGGGAAAAGAGTTGCTGAGCTGGATCCAGTCAGTAGCTACCAAGCTTGGCAGCTGGCCACCAAAGGAAAAGTAGTAGAGCCCTCGGAGTATGTGAAGTATGTGGGATGGGACGAGGCCCTGGCGGATGCGGACGTGACTTACGACAAGGATAAGAGAGAGTACATCCTTGTCAACCAGGAGAAGCGCAAGCGAGAGCAGGACTCACCCAGCTCTTCCAGCAACCCCAAGAAGAAGAGCTGCACCAGCGGGCGCCTGGAGAAAACGGTCAGCGCTCCGCCGGGGGAGAGCTTCCCGCTCGCCCAGGGGGACCTGGACTACCGCCCTGCCTCGCGGCAGAGCCGGCGGGCTGCCCAGAACAACAAGTCTACCGAGTGCTTCGAGTGCGGGAAGATCTTCCGCACCTACCACCAAATGGTGCTGCACTCCCGGGTGCACCGCAAGGAGCGGAGGAGCTGCAGCGAGGGAGGGACGGCCGCCCAGCCCGACCGCTATGGCTCCAGCAGCGAGGAAGGGGACTCGGGGTCCGTCAGTGGGCCCAGCACCCCTGGCTCCGCATCCGCCCCAGAGGACTCGGCTACCTCCGGCTTGGGGGAAGAGGGGGCTGAGGAGAGCTCCGAGGAGGGAGCCGCCAACCCCTTGCTAGGTAAGGTCGTGCCCAGCCTCGCCCTCCTTGCTGTCGCCTGTCCCTGCGTATCTCGGTGCGGGATGTGGCGATGAGTGGTGGGAGAGATGCGTGAAAGCACATGAGAGGTTTAGGGGCAATGTGGAGGGGGTCTTGTGCCCGCTGAGCGCTGCTCCTTGTCTCAGCGTGGTGAATTGTTGTTTCTGGTGCAGGTAATAAAAACGAGGTCAGAGGATGTCTTCGTAAGGTGCGAGGGAACTTGTGTTTCAGTGAAAGACACCTGAGAAGTATCTTAGTTGCCTATAGCAACACTGTAGAGTCGGGGGTAGTGTCTTCCGTGGACGTCTTGCGGGCTGTTTTCCCCCGATTTACGGGCATCCTGTGCACTGTTCTGCTGGTAGCGTGCAGGTGTAGCAGGGGCACAGCCTGTGTGTTGTAGCCTCAGAGCGCGTAAACTTGTTAATCGCCAGCATGAGAGACGTCTCTCTCCTCTTCTCTGCTTCACTTCACAAATTGTGTTTATAACTCCAAGGGCTATAATTAATCTCTCTGGATTAAAGCGGTCCTTTGAGTCCAACACTGCTAAATGGAACAAATTATTCTCCAAATAGCAGCAAAGTAAATATTTAAAAGAACTCTATTAAGCACTTTTGTATCTTTTTTTTAATATTTTATTTTTGTTGTTCACTATTCTTTATCATACTCTTTTAGAAATGTTAGATTAACCATGCTTTCCTTACTAGCCATGTGCTGTTTTTTTCTTTCTGCTTGGCAAACAATAACGTTTTCTTGTCATTTTCATTCCTTTTCTTGTGAAGAACGTAGTTATCTGTAGAGTTAAACTCATTTTCAAGACCATTGCAGATGAAGTAATCTGCACCATTGTGGAAGAGGATAGGCTTATTCAATTAGCCATGTTCTTTCAGGATTTTATATCATGTTGCACATTCTCCTGGCTACAGACCCCACAGCAGCAAAGCAACATTTTCCAGAATTGTATACTATTAGTTACATGTTTTTCATAAAGTTTTGAAGCAGTGCTGGATGTATATTTTTTTGTCACTAAGCGCCTTTCATGGAAGTCCCATGGTTTTAGGACAACTGAAGTTGGAGCTGAGACTGCTTGGCAGTATAACTTTTAAAATGTAAGGTGTAGATGGACGAGAGCTTCAAAGGATTGAAATTGTAAAAAATTAAACCTATCTGTTTGTCCTTAAACTTACAAGAATGGTCCTAAACTTGGTTTTGCTACAACTTGGATCAAGTCCCTGATGGACAAATTGGGTGCACACTAGAATAAAAAACCTAAGTTAAACCAGTAACCCCAATTTTTATACTTTCTTGCCCTTTTCATAAACCACAACTCCAAAATGTCATAGTGACAAGTTGACTTACATATCTACATATTTCGCTGTGATTACTTAGCCATTTAAAAGACTCAAAATTTGGTGTTCCCGTTTGATGTTGGATTTTGGACATTAAACAAAGTTCCTCATGAGAACATACATACTTACTTTTGTGTGAAAATCCATCATCTGCTGCCTGAAAGACCTCATTACAGTTGACACGAGATGCAGTGATAAAACTGCAACTTTGTCTGGAGTTAAATCGGGCTGCTGTGTTTTACCAGTGTAATATACAGGGCCCTTATGGAAACTGCTGTTATGGAAAGTCTTGAAGAGTTGCCCAGAGAAGTTGTGGATGCCCCATCCCTGGAGGTATTCAAGGCCAGGTTGGATGAGGCTTTGAGCAACCTGGTGTAGTGGAAGATGTCTCTGCCCATGGCAGGGGAGTTGGAACTAGATGATCTTTAAGGTCCCTTCTAACCCGAACCATTCTATGATTCTATGAAAACTGTCTCTCTGGAGATGGGCCAAAACCACCGAAACACTTTTTCACAAATAGGAAAGCTGTTTTTATGTGCTCTCTGTGTTAAACGCTTTATTTCTAACAAGAGGAGCCATCTCATCTCTTTGCCTGGCCTGCTTCTTGCCTCAACTCAAACTGAGCCCCTGTTGCAGGAATGAAAGGCGAGAGTTAAAGTTACACAGCAGTTTCTCTCACAGGAATTAAGGTGACTGGCTTAACCCGATGTCACTAGTCAACACCTGGAAACTTGTTTCTTTGGGTGCCAAATTGGTCCTTATCTTCTTTAACTGTAAAGAAGCAGCAAGCTGATGGACCTAAATAAAGGTGCATCTTGGAAGAGGGATGTCTTGGCACTGATGGGCTGGCTGCTGCATTTTATATTCACTAACGTCACAACCGAAGAGCTAATCAAGTATTTAATTGGCTAACAAGAAATGTTTTAATCTTATGACCAAAATGAATGTTACTGTTGCTTCTTAATAGGATTTATTTAAATAAAATAACTGTATCAGTGAAGTGAAGATTTTTTACAAGCAGCAAAGATTTTTTGGGTTCAAAAGAAAGTTGTTTGTCTTTTTTTTGTAAGGAGTTTTCATAGGTCAATGTTCAAGACTTCTGTTTCTCAATTTTCTCTTTTTGGTATGCAGGTTTATTGAAACTGCCCTTATATTGTTTTCTATGGGACTGTAGGATTAGTTTTGCTCTTCTGCAGAGGCTTTCTGTCCCCCCCCTATGAACAGAAACTTAAGGTGTACAGAATATAGGCCATATTCCGCCCTCATGTATGCTCCTGCTAAAATCAGGTGTTCTGGAATGGCCTTGAAGCACATTTTGTCCTAGAAGTGCTGTGGTTTGCTATCCTCTGCTGTGGCTTTTCGTAGTTATTCTTGCCCCTGAAGGTTTTCTGTCAAGAGCCACGCTCCAGCCCCACAGACAGCATCCCTCCTCAGTGGAGGCGGGCGAGCAGCGCTCTCGGTTCCTGTTCGTGACATGCCTTCTATGGTATTATTTTTACTCAGGCTGTGGTAAGGAAAATCTTGTGCTACTCATGATGTTGTATAATATCTGTATTTTTACTTTCATATCTTTACTTCCTCCTCCCCTTTGCCTTTTGACACATTCCTGTGTTATTCCGGGTCAGAAAAAGGGCCTCGAGACTGCCAAGTACGGAATGTTGTGACCTTGACTCAGCTGAAAGTACTTCTTTGTGTGATTAATTCTTAATAATCTGAGCAGCTCTGTTGACACACAGTGTCTTGCAGCAGGGAAGCTGGCCATGCACCTCTGTGCACTTAAGGCCAGCAGATGTTGGGGCTGATGGTGACTGAGGCTGGAAAGTGCTGATAGGGCTTACTGGGGGAAGAGCAAGAATCTCCCCTTGGATGGGAAATGGGGTTGAGAGCCTTCAGGGTAGGCACTTCTTTGCTCTTAACCCGTCAGTAATTTGTCTCTGCTGTCTATGTAGAGTAACATAATGATTTCTCAGGCACGGGGGTAGTGTTTGCATACCCAGCTTATCAGCTGCCAGGGAGTAAGCTAGCGGGTTACAAAGTGCTTTCCGTCTTGTTGGAAGGAGGGTAAAAGTTAGTTTTCTAGAGTTACACGCGGTGTCACACACAGATAGATCCGTGATATATAAATGCTTCGCGTGACAGCCATGTGGGAAAAAGTGAAAAGGTGGCTCAGAGAACATGCGCTGTTAAGAGCAGCCTTTAAAATATTTTTGAGATCTTCCTGCCTCAGATAAGTCTTTGATTTTTTTTTTTTTTTTTTTTGGCATTCAAGCCACTAGCAAACTCTACCTGAATTTCCACTGATTTGCATCCAGAGCTGTTTGAATCACCTGTGAGTTGTTGCTCGGCACTTCCCCAACTTGAGGCTGCTTTTTTTTTTTTTTTTTTTGTGGTGTTCATTTTTAACTAAAAAAACCCCCAGAGCTATGACTGAGAGAGTAAAGGGGGATTATGCATGTGTTGATAAAAGTGGAATGGAAAATACTCTTTTTTTTTAATCTTTCAGGTTCTCAACTGAAATGTAGTTTTAAGTATGTCAAAGAAATAATTCAGCCTGTGTGCATTTGGTGGTTAGTATTTTTAAGGCTCAATGTGGGCCCCTCTTATTGTCGCAGTGTGTTTAGCAGTGAGGGTGTTACAGTTTGTTACATTGGGCACTATGAACTATTTCAGTCCTGAAATGAAAAAGGAAGTATAGTTTTTGAGGCTGCGACTGCTGCTGGCGGGTGGGAAGATGAAGTAAAGAAGTGAAAATGATCTAAATACCACTTGACGTTGGGCAAACATGTAGTAAGAGCACAGGGCTGTGATACCTGGTGAGTAAGGGAGTGCCATTAAGGGTGGTACTTTTTGCATGTAAGCGCCAGACTGGGCAGGAAGTAAATAATAAAAGTAATCTAGGGAGCCTGTGGAGCTGGTAGTCTGACTCGATGGGGTGGACACAAGTTGCTAGACTGCACAGAATATTTAAAAAAACCCCTCAAACAATGAGTACAAAACAGCGGTAGCGTGGCTGCATTTGATTTGTGTCGGAAATTACTGGTGGTATGGTGGGGCTTGCTCAGGAGAAGATGAGCTCCATGAAGGAATGAGACAAGAGCTGAGGGTAGGGTGTGGGGAGGAGAGAAAGGGGAATCGGGGGAGGCAGAGAGAAGCAGGTCCCTGGTGAAGGGAGCGGTGCCATACGGTGAGGTTTCGAAGAGAAGGCTGAAAGAGAGGTGTGGGATGGTGTTGGGGTTCAGACCCTCAAACCCAGGTCACTGGGTGTCTTGCACTGAAGCTGTGAGGGCTCGTGGTGGCCTGCACTCGGAGGTGGGTAACTCCAAGAGGATTTCCATGTGAAAAACAGAAGGTCTGGAGCAGTCATGTGAATGGGAGACGACAGCAGGTGGGCACCTCATCCACACCTGCTGTCAGACCCACTGGCTTCTTGTTACTGATCTGGTACAAAGTCTGAACTCTTAGAGCAGTGCCTGGTTTTCGAGCTCTTTGTTTGTTTGTGAAATTTAAAAAACTCTTAGAAATCCATGGCCAGACACTAGTATCTTTATTAGTGAATTGAAGGAAAAGAGACGGCTGCCTGTGAATTGCTTATAGTTTATACAAACTGGGGGATATAACACATACCATTTATCCCAG